TGTGCTTTATAAGTACTAATAAACAGCCAAAATGCTAGTAATATGCATGCCAATAATAAGCAACTAGTTAGTAGTGGGAATTGGTCCTTAAACATACCAATATTTCTCTATTTGGTAAAGGTTTTGTGCCTCTGATTCTGTTGCTGTTTACCTCGTGGCAGTCAAGTGGAGTCTTAAGAACTGTTTTCTTCAAATACATAACATAAAGACATCTGTTACATCCAGACTTCCTTTGCTGGACCGTATCACCACAAACCCAGGCGAAACAGATTTTTGTCCTTGAGTAGCGACATTTGAATGAAAAAATCTCACATGAATACAGTCCAATTAGGATAAACCTCTTGCCGCACTGTGCCACTAAACATTTCACATCAATTAGCCGACATTTGAGCACTTTCAGTCTATTCTCTTTATGTCTCTGAAAGAGTCCAGAAGGAGATGAGACCTCAGGTGAGAAAGGAGGAGATTGATGGCTAAGCCGAACCAAAAACAATAATGTCCACTTCCTGTTACGGCTCATTAACATGCTGAGAAAAGAATGTCTAATGAATTTAGCGATCAATGAAGAAACCTCCAACATTTTGCAGTGAGGTGTATCAAAGCCCTCTGGTCAGACTTCATAAATTAGTCTTTGATGAGGTCAACTGCAGAGGAGGAAGTTAGCAAATCTCTGCTAATTTTATGTGTGGCCTTTTGAGGATTGTACATATAGTTTAAAAATATGAAAATTCTCTTCTTTGAAACGCAACATAGATCAGATCAGTCCAAGGGAAAGCAACAAGAAAATATTTTAAAAGTCTAGTTTAAAATATGTGCCAATTTCTTAGAAATGCTATGTCATGAATACACCTGATTTTTCTATACAATTTTTTTTAGCAAAGTTTGAAGTTAATGTCATGTGGTGTAACCATCAAGCAACCATAAACAACCATTAAAGTCATAGCATTTTTCTTCATATAGTACATGTGAATGTACAAATATTAATCATTGTTTTAAACAACTTTTAACCTTTTCAAAGGTAAAGAAGTATTTTTCAAAGGCAATGACTTTTTAAAAAATGGCATAAAGTATTTCATAAATATCACTAAATTTTTGAAGGGTTGTACCATATGACAACCCAAACTAGCTTTGAACTAACCTTGTCATTAAAAATCCAACTTATCTGTTATTTTAAGATACTAAATGACCTCATGACCGATTTGGTGGATAAACATTTTTCAAATGTATCTAATATTTTAACAAAACCACTTATCTTACTAAACAAAAATGCTGATTAGTAATAACTAATAATTCATAAGGAATTATACAACTATAATAAGTATATCCAACTGTACCCGGATACATACAGTAAACTCACTTTAAGTGGTATGTACTATATAGCAAATTTCAACTGTTTGATTGTTATATTGTTGAAAAACTATATCGCACAGCAACATATTCAAAGTTGGAAATATAGTACATCCTACATTACCTGCATACATACAGTACACTCACATAAAGCAACATACTATAAAGCACATCTCGGCTGCGTGTTTATATCGACACAAAAATGCAAACTGCATTATCGCACACCTCTCTATATAAAGTTGTATGTATATTATATCCAACTTCATTCGCATACATACATACTGTATACTCACATATAATTCTGCGATTACCACAGAACATCATTTTCACATATCAATCAGTTTGTAAAATCAAACAAGAATCATATTGACAGTAATGTACTTGGAAATGGAAATTCAACGAGGCATTTCAGACAGTTTAAAACCAAAGATTGTGCTTTGGCCCACAGATTTCAGATTCATTATTGTACATGCAAGTTTTGTTTGTTTTTACAAACAACATGCCAGAGATGCGGTCCATACAAATTAACTACTGAACCCAGAACATTCCTTAAGGAATCAGTCCTGTTTAATACCTAATTTAGTGCCCTATTAAACCACAGCATTGCATTGCACCAGTACGAGATGAAGCTCCACGTGGAATTAAGGCTTGTTTTAAAACAAGGACAATATCAGATCCAGTTTTTCCTCCTCTTTTTTAGGGAAGAGTGAAAGCGAGGAACTCCATTAAATCAATTAGACAGCTCATTAATGTGTAGAGACACGCTGGCCAAATATCCAAATCACTCATGGTGTTCTCCTGCATCGATTGAAATACTTTCAAAAAACACTGACAGAAACTCTTAAATTCCCTGCTGGCCACAGTTGAGACCATTTACAATCTGTTTATCAGACTACTTACTCGATGTTTTTAAATACAAAATAATATTCTTGAAAGTTAAAGGCTCGTTTGCTGTCCTTCAACAGACCCGACAGGTAGTTCTCTACAATTCATAGCTTAAAGTACGAATAGTTCCAGAAAGTCCTTTAAAATATTCTATCAAGCTGAAGGTTAACTGATGTGTCCTTCCACGGTTGAATGCGGGACAGCGCATTTGGAATCAGATATGATTTTATATTTTATTTTTATGAGACTGCCCTACCCAGCAATAGGCCTACAAACTCGGAGTGCGGAGAGGGCCTTCTTTTATTTGAACTGACAGATTTAGCTTTTTCTCGCATTAAACTCAATTTGAAAAACCATTCGCTACTCATTTTATTACCATAATGTGATGTATTTATGAGTGAAACAAGATATTCAACAAGAAAAAAAAAAGAGCAGGGGCAAACTTTATTTATTATAATTTTTTTAAACACCAGGAATTGACTGGATTGTGAAACATAAGTGTAAGGAAAAAGAAATATAAAAGAAGAAGAAGAAGAAGAAGAAGAAGAAGAAGAAGAAGAAGAAGAAAGAGCTTTATTGCCAAGTATGTTTGCCTTTTCCACGACATTCTAATTTATTGAGATGCACCTGTACATAGACACATATGCTAAAGTGCCATGAGATAAGACTGTGACTAAAGCCATGATGCAATCAGCCAATCAGAGAGAGGCACATCAGCAAGAGCCGAGCTGAATGCTGTTATCTGTGGTGGATGGAGGTGAACCAGTGATTTTTGCTACACTGCTTTCAGCATATTTTAATATTGGGCTTTCAGATCTAGCAAATCGATTCCAAGATATATATATCCTGCTCCTTCAAGGTCAGTAGAGGATCAATCATTACCTATGAGTTTGTCTGCCAGACCTGATCTCATCTCTCTCTCTCCCTTTCTCATTACCTGCATTAACATGCACTGAATTAGCTCACCTCGTTGGGTTTCAAAGCCACACTTTCCCTCGATACAACAGAGTGACCTCACCATGCACCGTACTAGAATCATAAGGATATTTATTCTGAGATTCATAAACAATAAGTTCATTACCATCACACACTATTATAAGATTAATTCACGTAAGCTGGGCCACTTTTTCAACAATTTCATTTAATTAGATTTAAAATAAAATAAAATAAAATTCAGGATTTAAAATTAATAATAAATAAATCATATATTCAGTTAAACTGGGGTTATTTTTTTCACAGCAGTCTAAATGGCCAAAGTGGCCCAATTTACTTCTACAGTATTGTAAAATAATGGCAAAACATATAAAATGCAAATTCCTAGTCACTCTTCCTAAATGTTGTGTCCTTTATTGTTGTGTTTACACATGTGCAACAAGCTAACTGGGCTCCATGGCAGTAAAACTGGGGGAGCGATCGTGTTTGAGCGAAAAACGTGTCGTAAATCTTTAGCGTCTTAAATTAAGCTTTCATATCCAGAGAGATGACTCTGATGTGGTTGGTAATGGGTCTGTGAAATGCAGAATGTACCCTCAGCGCTTTAGCTCCAGATGGGACGAAGAGCGTTAGCTGCACATCTTACCAAACGCTCACAGATGTAACCACAATGGTAATAAACTATCCAGAAACTTTTAATTTTGTCCAAACTCTTGTCCCAGAATCTAACTCAAGATAAAATAGACTAAACAGAGAAAATATAACCTACAATAACTGATATTAGCAGTTGAAGCAGACTATATGTAAAAACAATTACTATTTATATTCATATCTATTGCAATTTAATTTATTACAAAAAAATACAGTAGGGAACTGGAAAAACTTTATTCTTAAATCACTTGAAAATTATACGGTTCATAAAACGCTGTATAAATACATAGTAACTTTTACTGTGCTATATATTTATAGAACATTTTATGAACTGTAATATTTGTAATCTGTAAGTTATTTTTAAACATTTATTTAACTGTGTTTATGAGGTCACTCACTTAAAACTGCCATTTTGACATCATTTTGTGTGCTTTTGTCCACGAAAGATAACTCAGTGTGCTACTGGCGTGCTGTGTGAAGCAGCTTTCTGTGCGTGTGTCAGATGCCTGTGCTCACAGACAGCTGATCCACAATTATTGGACTATATTCGTATTATATTTTATTTTACCTGTTAGTGATGTCTTAATTATTTAATGTATGTTCAAATAAATCTGTTATGAAACAAGCTATGAGAGCCACTGTGTAAATTAATATAATTCAACAAATATAAACTGTCTAATTTAGAAGTTAATTAAAAAACGTATAACCCGTACGGTTAAACGACAGCAATTTTAATTTATCGATAAGTTAAATCCAATAATTAAACAACATTCTAATTAGAGATATTATTAGTAGTAGTAGTGGTGGTACTAGTAGGCTAGTAGTAGTAATAAATATGTTGTTATAATAAAATGAATAATGAATTTGTCATACCTTATACCGTCTATGTATATATATATATATATAGTCCTCATTTGTAAGTCGCTTTGGATAAAAGCGTCTGCTAAATAACTAAATGTAAATGTAATTTATATACTGTATATTAGGAAGTTCATTATCACTTTCCTCTGAACAGAGTAAGTGGTATACAGGTGTCCATAATGATTCAGACACTGACTATATTAACAAGAAACAGGCTCAAGCAAGCACATGACTGCATTTAGCTCTCACATGCTGGAGAAATACAGTAGCAGAAGCAACTCAAAAGCAGGTTATGGCCTGCTACACAAAGATACAGCATTTTGACATCTCTGTGGTATTTCTTCAGCAGACTCAGCTTCAAAAAGCAATGCATTGTGGGTGCTTGTTTTAAAATAAATAAATAAATTGGATCCACATGCAAGTTCGGACCTGTAAATGGCATGCATAATTCAAAAGAAAACAACTGTGGATTGAATTTGTCACACGGCAGGACTTCCCCAGGGAGATTGGGCCTATAGAATCGGGCCACCCACCAATCCCAAGAGAAGATTTACAGATTCTCCCCCGCCATAGTTTTTCGCTAGTCTCGTCTTCCGTCTATACTGCTTCATTAGCGTTTCAATCATTCTCTTTCCACCAGACTTCATTAAAATCACTCATAAGGACGCAATGGCCTCGTGCTCTTTTCTGCCAGTCAGTGTGATGCATTTTGGCGTCTGGAACAGAGTAGATTCCAGACAGCACGCAGAAGGTTTTAATTGTGTTCATATTGTGCACACACCCGCAGCTTTGAGGAGGAGTGCAGGAAACATGCTGGCTAACAGGCTGTGTTCATCTCCAATTCATTGAACTTTACTCTTCATTTACATCAGCAAAACTACAGATGTTCAAACACTGGGAGCACACTCATAATAATGTCTGTCAGGCTCTTCCCTGTGGCTTCGGTTTGCTGTTGGCTATGTAGGATCTCTGTCTTCGAATGGACCCACTTACACTATTGAGTCACACATGAAACAATCACATTCCATTGAGACAAACTGAGGAGCACCCTATGCAGCCATCTGCGGTCGTAAAACTCATGCAGGGTCAGTGAAGTGTTGAAGCAGTTCCTGTACTATCTAGCGTATCATCTCAAGAGACTCAAATAAAAACAGTGCTTAAACCCTAACTCAAACTAGGATACAAAACTATCTTTGTTTTACGGGCTTTCAAGGACCAGATGCGTGATACCCCTGACCATTTAACATTATGCGCATAACAGGGCAACCAGATTCACAAATAATATGTTGTGTGTCTTATATATATATATATATGCTTGATATGTTTCATGTAATCGGTGCAACTTTAATCAGTGTTTATCACCCTTTTTAGGAAATAAGGTTATTAAAATGTGTGTAATATGTGAAGTTTAATCTAGCTCTTTCTCTCTTGTCGCATGATAATGACATCTACCTGGGCACCAGTGAACCTCGGAGAGGTTTGCTCCTAACCATCCACCCTTAAAATAAAATACACGTTTGGGCTCTGACAAGGCTCAGAAAAAGCTCCCGTCCAACCAAGGTCAGTGGTTATCATTCTTAGCATGCATCACAATGTCCAGAGAAAGAGAGTGACAGATGACATTTTGAGATCCATATTTCAGCTCTGTAAACTAAAGTAAAGTAAAGTAAAAATATGTAATATTGTTTAAAAAATAAAATCTTATTTTTATATTTGAAAAAATAACAAATATAAAATAAAATAAAATAACATAAAATGTATAAATTTAACTAAAATAAAATAATCCAATAAATAATCTAAAATAAAAAAAATATTTCATCGTTTAAAAAGATAAAATCTTATTTTTACATTTTAAATAAATAAAATAAAATAAAATAGAATAAAATAAATTGCCTTTACACATATAAAATTACTAGCACTTAGAATTTGGTAATATTAAAAAAATAATTTCATTTAAGTCTTTAATTGTAATTTTTTTTAAATTGTAACAACATATTTAGTTCATAAAAAATCCTGTGCATAGCATACAGTACATTCAAAAGTGATGTAAACATTTTTAAGAAAACCATGCATAAAATCCATTCATCTTAATTAAGAAAACCCAGAAAAGCTATGCCAAGCAAAAATAAAAGCTCTGCATTTTTGGTATGCATAAATTGCAATACCCACAGTGCAAAAATCAGTGACCCTTAGATAACATTTTGGTTTCCATATATCAGCTATCTAAAGCCTTATTTATGCTTAACATATTTGAATATGAGGGACTGAGCACCAAATGTGACATCTGTGCTGCTATTGCTCAGTTTTACCATGCCAAGGTGGTTTATAACACCTGGTGAATGCAATCCGTTAGCATTTTCATTCATTTAAATTGAAGCTGCTCTTCTATTACAAACTAAATGACTACTTTTGAAAATCCGTCAATAGAAAAACAGACGTATTGTAGGCAGAAAGGAGCAGTTGTGGAATCTACCAGCAGATGCTAACTGCTAACCAATCAAACTTTGACCCCTTGAGTTATGCACATCCAAATCTTTGTAAGCATGCAGAGTTTTGTGTGCAGTTTCAATCCTATTGCACAATTATGAGGCAAGGGTCAGACAATGGCAACAGGTATATAGAGGGCAAGACACAAGAATATTCCTAGGGCTAGCGTGGGTCTACGATCGGCGAACAGAATCAACAGGGCGAGACTAGAGGGATAAATCCAGGTACAAGGCAAAGGTCCAGGCAGGGGCAAACAGTATTTGAATAGGGCAAGACGAGAGGGGGATTCCGAGATACACAGGCAAAGATCAGGACACGAGAAAACAGACAAGGCAAGACTAAGATAAGGCTATGAAAAACTAGACAGGCTCCGTAGAGTAGCTATCGCTATGAGAGTGATAAACGCTATACAATACTCGGCAGTTTGAAAGGGATCAGAGTGAGTGTTATATAGTGAATGTGTGATTGGTTACAGCTGTGTGCAATCAGTGCTGTGTGCAATCAGTGCATTTGGATGATGGGATATGTAGTCCGGGATGACATGCAACAGTTTGTGTAGTGCGAGAGTCAATGTAATGGAAGGGTGACCTCTGGTGGTGAGTGAATT